CTTTACCCCTTGGCAAAATCCACAGCAGCGCCTTTCAGTGGATAGAAAGAGCAAGGTGAAGTCAATTCCGTTCTGAAAGAAAAGCTTGCGGCTGCTGCATGCTTGTGGAAAGAAAGAGCATTCTGGGCCCGTAAAATGGTTTGGCCAATAAAGAAGACTGCCCCCAAGGCTGATGACCCGAGTTTATTCCTCAGGACTCACATGGTGGAAGGAGAGAACTGACTCACACAAATTATCCTCTGACCTCCAACCTGGGTGTCGTGCCACATACACATATACAGATTGAATAAAATAAAATATTTTTAATATTTAAAAAGCAATAATAATAAATTTTAAAGAATCAACGTTGGTGAAGATCCCCTGTAACTACTGTCAGCCTGTGATGGAAGCCCCTTGCCAATTTTAGGGTGGGGGTGACGCTCCATTTATAATGACTAACATTGAAATAAACAGGAAGATGGGTTTACGTCTGTCATTTTTGTTTTAAAATAACAATACACATATTGGATAGCATGGCCACTCAGCTAGCAGAAAACTAAGTCACATACAACTTTCAAGTGGCAGGCCCACCTTCTTTAAATCTGTTCTCTAAGCACGTCCTTACGAGCTGAACACTGAGCAGTACCACTGCGGGTAACCTCTAGAGACTTCTTACAGAAAACTTTAAAAAAAAAAAAAGCCATGAAATAAACACTACTTGAGGGAATTCACCCAATTCAGAGAGTGAAGAAGATCGGAGCTGGTTTGCACCTTCCCCGTCAGCAAACACAGCATCAGCCATGCGGTGCAATCACGTGACTGCTTTGCCCAAATGCCTTGACCTTTCCATTCTGGAAACTTTCCATGATTTTGACTTTGCTAAAAATAATGCAAAAGATGCCAGGTGCATGATACATACCCATAAACCCAGCACACGTTTGAGAGGCTGAACTGAGAGTTCGAGCCCAGCTTATGCTATAGGGAAGAGACCAGCCTAGAATACATGAGCAAGACAGTATGGAGTAGGGGTGAGGGGTGGGAGAAAGAAAAGAAGAAAAGGAAAGAGAAAAGGAGAAAGCTTCATGGTGTTGATGAAGCAAATGGAGGAGGCGGCATAACAAGACTATCTAAGGCATGAATGAGAGATGTGTCTTGACCCATCCAAAGACAGAGAAGCATGAATCAAAGTGTATGAGCTGCTTGAAGCTGCTACGACCAACTGCCACAAGCCAGATGGCTTCAAACAAAACTTGAGTTCTCTTTTTTAAATTCACAGTCCCAGACAACAGAAGTCCACAGGTAATCACATGTGCATGGTGGTGGCTCTTTCTGGAGGCTCAGGAGGACAACTGCCCCACGTTTCTTCCTAGCTTCTGCTAGCTGACAATTCTTGACATGGCTGGACTCCAGTTGTACCCCTCAGCCCTACCCCCATCTTCTGCACACAGCCATCTTACTTCTAGGTGTGGCTTGAGTCTATCTATTCAGACCTTCCTACAAAGACTGGTCAGACTGCATCTGAAGCGCATACTTTAACCCAGGGTCACCTCAACTTAACTGATTGCATCTGCAAAGATGCTGTTTGGAAATGAGGGCACAGCTTGGGGCTGGGTGGACACAAGTTTGGGAAGGACGGCTAACCCTGGACATGACCCTGGCTACGTGATAGATTTCTATGTGATCGAGACATACGAGTGCACATCCATTCTGCAGCTGTGCACTCCTGCTATATACAGGGTTCTCAGTCTGTGAATAATGGATGCAAGAACCTTTGATACAGGAGCAAGGCCTCTGCTTGGAGTGTAGATCCCCCCCTCTACAATGGCCCCCCCTTGCATAAATGACCTGATCTCTAGGGTCATTTCCTTTAGCATGAAATCAGGGAGGAAACACGAAACAAAACAAAAGGTGCCTGAACGCAAGCTGGGCAAAGAATCCTTGATATCTGCAGTCTTCTTTAATGTTCCCAGCAGCAGCCTCATCCACATTTAATTCAACAGTGATTATTTTTATGAACTAAACTTCCTTCAGTGGCTTCCCAAAGTCCCCAAGCTACTATCTCTTTTTTATATTTATATATATAGATATATACATAGATAGATAGATAGAATGATACAGATACAGATATTCTTATTTATTTATAAATATATATACACACCTATGCCCACACATTTATTTATATATAAAATCAGCTTCTATAGAAGCTGAGATGGTTAATTTTATGTCACAACTACTTGATTGGGTGAAAGAATGCCCAGACAACTGGTAGATGTTCTTTTTGGATATGTACATGAGGGTATTGAGAATCAGGGGCATAAGTAAAGAATCCCTGTCCTCATGGATAGAGGGTTTATACAGTCAGTTTACTACAGGCCTGGATAGGACACACATGCAAGGTAAGTGCGGAATTCTCCTAGTTCTGTGCTGGAACACCCATCTTCTCCCTTCTGGAATCTGAATTCCAGGCTCTTACGCCTTAGGCTCTGACTTTGTTAGGGTTTCTATTGCTGCAACAAAACACCATGACCAAAAACAAGCTGGGGAGGAACATGTCTATTTGGCTTATATTTCCATATCTGCTCATCATCAAGTCAGGACAGAAACTCAAACAGGAAGAAACCTGGCAACAGAAGCTGATGCAGATTCAGGGTGGATCCCAGCCCATCAGTTCTTTCCCCGGAAAAACCCTCATAGACATGTCAAGAAGCGTACCTCACCAATCTCCTAGGAGACTCTAAATCTAATCAGGTTGACAATGGCTCTTGACCATCACCACGACTGATTAGATCAAGGGCATCACCACTTTCCTTATGGCTGTGTACAGCACAAGCACCATTGATTTCATACATTTCAGCCAGTCCCAGTTCTTAATCTTATTTGTAATCAATGAAATAATCCTCTTTTTAATTAATCTTGTTAAACACCTCACAGTTGGTGGCATATCTACACATTATGATTCATATGAATTCATGTATTTTTCCCCTTAGAGAAAGGTCTGTTTACCAAAGATTCACTGAATGGGAAACAATCTAGTTAGAGGAGAGAAGTCAGGTTCTCCTGATCCATGCTGCTTGTAGGAACAGAGCCTAGTTCCTGGGGAATTCCTATCAGACGATATCAGTCACCAGGAACAACACTACCTTCATTCCACAACGGTCATAAGAGGCTGTGCTTGAACTAATATGAACATATATAGAAAGGGGTGTGTGTGTGTGTGTGTGTGTGTGTGTGTGTGTGTGTATGTATGGAGAGAGAGAGAGAGAGAGAGAGAGAGAGAGAGAGAGAGAGAGAGAGAAAAGGTATGTGTGTATATATAGAGGTATGGATGTATGTGTGTAGATAGATAGATATGTATACATAGAGAGGTGTATGTGTATGTGTGTATATAGAGAAAAAGGTGTGTGTGTGTAGAAAGAGAGAGGTGTATATATAGAGAGGTGTGTATGTATGTGTGTGTAGAGAGAGAGAGACAGGCATATGCGCGCGCGCGCGCGCGCGTGTGTGTGTGTGTGTGTGTGTGTGTGTGTGTGTGTGTGTGCAGGTTCACGTGCACTGTGCAGGTCTGAAAAACAACATTGGGCGTTATTCCCCAGTTGCTATTCTAGTTATTTGAGACAGGGTCTCTCATGGCCTGGAACTCTCCAAGCAGGCTAAGCTGACTGGCCAGTGAGCCCAGGAATCCACTTGTCTCTGTTTCCTATGCTGGAATCACATGTATGCGCCACCATACTTGGCTTTTTATGTGAGTTCTGAGGCTCAAAATCAGTTCCTCACGCTTGCAGGCAACTGCTTTATTTACTTTACTGACTGTCCTGTCTCCCCAGTGCCATGACATAGAATTAGAGGGCCAATGCAGAGAGGGGTGACCCACCAAGTCACTGGTACTAGCTGGACCAGGGACTTCCCTTGTAGTTGACAGAAGTCAAGAGGATCTGGACGTGGAATCATGGGTTCAGTACAGCCAAAGGATGCTAAAAAGTTTCAGGGTGCCACCTGTTTATCAGCAACAACATATTACTAACTAGTAAGAGATGAAATACAGGGGGCTGGAGAGATGAGTCAGCAGTTAAAATGCTTCCTGCTCTTCCAGAGGACCCAAGATCAGTTTCTCTGGGGAACACCCATCTATAACTCCAGCTCTGGATTCAATGTCCTCTTTTGGCTTCTACCAGTACTGCATCCAGGTTGCATAAACATACACAGACAGATAGACACACATACACATACATGTTTTTAAAGATCCCTTAAAGAGGCAAAATACATAAAGGAAGTGTGCCAGGAAGTCTTACGTAAATTTGACACAAGCTAACGTCATCTGAGAAGAGGGAACATCGATTAAGAGAATATCTCCATAATACCCAGCTGGAGGGCATTTTCTTAATTACTGATTGATGTTGGAGGGTCCAGTCCCTCATGAGTGGTACCACTCCTGGACTGGTAATCCTGGGTTCTATAAAAAAGCAGGCCGAGCAAGCCATGTTGAGCAAGCCAGTAAGCAGCACCCATGCATGGCTTCAGCATCAGTTCCTGCCTCCAGGTTCCTGCCCTGCTTGAATTCCTGTCCCGACTTCTTTTGAGGATGAACTGTGATTTGATAGTGTACGCTGAATAAACCCTCTTCTTCCCAACCTGCCTTTTGGTCACGGTGTTTTATCACAGCAATAAAAACCCTAACTAGGACAGGAAGCTGAGTAAATACTTTAGGTTTTGTGGGCCATGTGTATAACTACTCTACCCTGCCATTGTACAAGAGCGGCTGCAGACAAGCAATATTCACACACCCAACAGGGTTCAAATAAGACTAAGGAAAATGGGAGGGGACGAGGTTCCTCTGACCTTCTCACAATGGATAGAGATAGCAGCTGTACAGAACAAGTAAATTTTTCACCTCATTCTCATTAGCACAGTATCTCATAGTGATTTAGCTGGTCATGATAATCCTTAACCTGTACTTGGTGTTTATAGACCCTGAGAGACTTAGTCATCAGTCAGACATGTCCCTCTCCAATTAAGATACTCACCCAGAAAAATCTGTAGTGAGGATTCCATAGTGGAAGATGTATATCCGGCTGATGTGGCATATCGTAAGGTAGCCCATGGCTACAAAAAAGGAATACCTGAAACACAAAACACAACGGACCAGATTAATGTGTGTGACAGTAAGGTGCTCCGTAAATGTTCTCTTAGCCCTCTCTCTCACCCTCTGCGAGTGACTGGTCGCAAAGCCTTGAACGTTCCAGCTACATCCTAGTCCTTCCCATCTCCCCTTTCTACTCCTCTGAGTCCTTCATCCTTTCTATCTCCAGACTACAGCTTTGGCAGCAAAAGATTTCAACTGGAACAGCTTTACAAACTGCAAACCCCTGCATTCTTCCTCTAGCTGTTCTGGATTAACTGGCACCAGGTACACGTGGGCATGTTCTTGGTCTCCTTCTCAGCGCAAACCGTTACGTTCGTATGGTGAGCACTACTAAACACATCTCTCTTCCATGTGCTCAGGACCCCCTACCCACCCCTCAGATATCTATTACCAGTTATTCCTGAGCAACTCCCCTGTGTTTGTCAGAGATACGGCACAGGTGATAGGACATATGATCTAGCAATGCACCCTGTGGCATGCACACTGAGAGACATTTGCATACATATGTATTCTTACCGACTTGCAATTTTAAATACATACGATAATATGGACAATGGAAAGAATGTCCCCAAATGTGTATGTCAAAAACCCTACCCTCTATTGCGATGGTATCAGATGCTGAGGCTTTTGGGAAATGATTACATCATAAGGATAGAGCCCTAGTGATTGGGATCAGTATCTTTATAAAAGGAATGCTTCTGTGCCCATTGTGGGGGCACACAACTGTAATCCCAGCGCACAAGGGGTTCAGGCAGGAGGATTAGAAGTTCAAAGGCATCCTCAGGTACACAGGAAATTTGAGGCAAATCTTGGAAAGCCAGAGGGATATCCAGAGAGCTTTCTCATAAAGGACTATAAGAAGACAGATGCTCACTAGAAGTCCAAAGCTGGTTAGAATCTGGCTTTTGTCCTCCAGAGATACGACAGACTAATTTCTGTCTTTTGGGAGCCATCTAGCTAGCCAAGATAGAAGATTTTGTTGCCAGCCTAAGCAGACTAAGACACTCTGATGAGTGTCTCCCTTTCTTGACTGTATGTTCCATGGAAGCACAAATGTCCCGTAGTGCTTGTTAGCCAAATCCACCTACTCTGTGTTAATTGTACAAATAAGTTCATGAGCAGTACTTTTCTTTAAAGGGTTCAATGAACCCACTATCAAGTCAAATTAGAACCCCTGACCACAGCAAGCAAGGGGCATCCCACTCTGAGCTCTCCTCCACTGCTGTAGGCTCATCTCCAGCTGTGGTCCATGTCTATTTGATCCTCGATGACACTGGCCTGCCCATGGTCCACAACCGCATCTTGTTTTCAGATCAAAGGCCTTTCTGTATAACACTCCTTAGGCCTGCCACTCCTTCCTCCATCCTACAGCCCATCTGGAAACTGCCCGGTTTTCAGGCAAGGCTCAGCTCCAATGTTCCCTCTCCACTATCACTTGCTCAGACATCCTCCCTGCTTGATCTTGGTTGTGAACCTGGCTGGATTTAAAACTGCTGAGGAAATAAACATTTGAACGTATCTGTGAGGGTATTTCCAGGGAAAGATTAGCCCTCAGCGTGGGTGGCAATTCCAACAGGTATACAGATATAAAATCTAAAGAGAAAGCAGCATGTGTACACCTACTTTTGTTCTTTCTTTTCTTTGTAGATTTACTAATTTCACTTTATATGTATGAATGTTTTGTCAACATTCACCAGTGAATGCACCAAGTGTGCACAGTCGCCACAGAGGCCAAAAGAGGGCATCAGATTCTCTGGAACTGGCATTACAGACAGGTGTGAGCCACCACGTGGGTGTTGGGAATTGAACCTGGGTCGTCTGGAAAAGCAGCCAGTGCTCTTAACTGCTGAGCCATCTCTCCAGCCCTAGCTGCTTATTCCTGAGCATGGACAGCTATCATCAGACTGCAGCTCCTCCAGCCTTCCACTGGGCTCAGCACCCAAACAGCTTCAGTGCCGGATTATGACGTCTGAGGTGTCTAAATTCCTGGACTAAGCAACTACAAGGTTCTCTGCCTTCCCATCAGATAGCCACTGTTGTGCTACTTAGCCGCTATCATTTAAGCCAATCTAATAAAGCCCCTTTATTACATGTGTCTGTCTGTCTTTCTGTCTGTCTTCCTCTCTTTCTCCCCACACTGTGTGTGTGTGTGTGTGTGTGTGTGTGTGTGTGTGTGTGTGTGTTTAGGAGGGTCTCACCATGTAACTTTGTAACTGTGGCTGGCCTGGATCTCACTCCATGTAGACTAGGTTGGCCTGGAACTCATAGATCTACTTGCCTTTGTTTCTGCCTTCCAAGTGTTGGGATTAAAGGCATACACCATCATGTCTGGATATATACGCATATTCTATTGATCTTGCTTCTCTAGAGCATCCTATCTATTACACCACCTTTGTTCCCCAAGCCCAGCATAAAACACTGCTCAGCTGCTTGTATTCTTCTAGTACAGAACACTAATAAATTAAAATTATCCACATGGACATCTGCTTCCCCAACTCTCTGGAACCCGGAGCATCCCAGCCCTTAGCCTGACACATAAATGCACTGATTCAGGGTAGGGAGAACATCATGACTATTAGAAGAAATGGATACACTTAACATTTTAAATGTCTCAGGAAACCAACAGGTAGAGACATAAATCCGAAAGCTGTAACTTCTAACGTAGGTCATAAACCAGGAGAGATGAATATTCTGGGATTAAATTGTACCGAAACTCACATGTTCACATTAAAATAACTCATGAAATCCAGGTCAGTCCAGGGAGTAGTCAAGTAAGGACAATAGCCAGAGAGCAAGCACAGAGAGTTCACTAAAGCATTGCACGGCATTAGCTTCTCTTTCATCTTAGTTACGGAGGACTGTATGGCAGCTGAGGGGCAGTGGGCGGGCATTTGCCTACTGCGCACAAAGACCAGAGCTGCTACTCAGCGTCACCAAAAAGAAGAAAGGAAAACCGTGAGAGTTAAGTGGGCTTAACCAAAAAGTTCCAGGTCTGAAACATTCTAAAATGAAAAATACCATTTAAAAAAAAAAGAAGAAGAAAGAAAAGAACGAGTATCATGTCAGCCCTCAAAAAGATTCAGATGGCAAAACATTTCCAATCTTAAGGCTTCAAATTCAATAATTCATGCCACTGTGGCCTGTGCTCATATTCCAAAACCGTAAAGCCTTCAAACCTGGAAACGCTTCTTTCCAAAATATTTTCAATAAAGAATAATCAGTCTACTTCATCCAAAAATGCTTCCCTTACCTCGGATCCCATCTAACATAAAGAGTTGACAAAGCCAATGGCCAAGAACACAGGCCCTGAGACGCGAGAAGTGTGTGTTGGGGGTGCGGGGGGAGCCTTACTGCCTCTGGCTTCCACTCCCTTTCTCCAGACAGTTCATGAGCTCAAGGCAGAAGTACAAAGCAGATTCTACAGACAACAGATTCTGCCAGAACCAGGTCAACTATAGTTGCACCTGTTTCTTGCCTGGCTTATAAGGCAAACAGACTCAATCAGTGGTTGTCATTAAACCACAGCTGTCAATGACAGGGATAAGTACTGAATCATAATACAACAGGGCATTCTTGCACTGACTCGACCTAAATTCCCGTGTGGTGTCGAAAACATATTTTGTGAATACAAAATAATAGGAGTTCAAAATCCGTGGAATGAGATATTGGCAGGGTGGCTATTTTTGGAAAAATGAGTGTGGCAGAGATTGGGACAGGACACTTAGTAATGTTCTCTTATTGACCTGGCTGGGTATGATGTTCTCTTTATAAAAAAAAAAAAATCAGTTACTTACATAAGCATTCATTACCTCGACTAAAAAGACAAAATCAAATCTATATCCTACACACTTGTTTTAGAAAGACTGTTAGAAATGATGAAATCAAATACCAACCGATATATTAATCATTTATGTATTGAGAATAATGGAATGCATTGAAAAGAGCTTAGTCTAGGATATAGCACAAAGCAAGATCTCCAAAATCAACCAACTACATCACCAGTCGTTACATAAGGCTTCCATCCTGGAAGAGATGAAGCGGAATCTGCAGCTGGTCTCAGCACAGCAAGCTGATGTCTGTGCTGCCTGCCTAATACTGAGACTTGGGATGGAAACAGAGGTGGTACCCTAAGAACTCTCTAAGAAAACATCCTGAGGAGCAGCTAGGCCAGAAGTGAGTTCCTTGCGGACAGCAGACAACGCTCACTACCTCTCTGGATCTCTTCTGAGTCATAAGAGGGAACTCCCAACACTAGACCTGAAAAGGATAACAATTCAGACGGGATCGGGAAATCGTAGTCTTCAGAATCTGGATTCAACGGAAGCAGGAAGATGGCTCAGAGGGTAAGGATGGCATGAAGACCCAAGTTCCAAATCCCAGCGCCCATGTCAAAAGCTGGTCATGGCTGTTCTTGCCTGTAACCCTGGCAGACTGGGGGGTGGGTAAGAGAGACAGACAGATCCTAGCTTTCTGGACAGCCAGCCTAGACAAAAGCAGTGAACTCCCGGTTTCATTGAGAGACAGTGTCTCAAGTCAGTGAGGTGTCCAGCAACAGAGAAGGACATCAGGACATCTGACACTCTACGCTGATCTCTGAATGCATGCTAAGCACATCCGTGCATGTACCATACGTATACACCTACCTACACACATGCACACACATGGGGGATTCATAATCATTCAGAAATAATCACACAACTTTTTTCTAATTAAAAAACCCTGTCTTGAAAAAACAAAAAAAAAAAGAAAAAGAAAAAGAAAAAGAAAAGAACTGTCATTCACACTATGACAAATACCACACCTCATGGGAGCTGGGGAAAGCTAACTGCAGAGAGGCTAACCCACCTGTCCGGATTTCACATTTCCTAGCCTGCTTCTCTGAAACAGCTAAGAGCAAAACAACTTTGGGACATGATTTAAGTGACATGGAGCTCTTCCGCTGGGAACTGGACCACTCCCTACTTCTGCAAACTGGCAACCATTCAAGCAAACAGAAAGAGGAAGAACAAGTTTGGGCATCTTCCATAGCAGAGGCTTCTGCTACCGACCACAAAATTGCTATGGTGAAAATCATTGTGTGCTGTGAACCATTCAGCTCCGCCCAGGTTGGAATGTCCCAATCCCCCACTCTAATTCCCAGACTCTAGGGCGGACCCTGGAGACTTAGGCCTGCCATGGAACAAGGGCTCACATAAGTATTCGACCCTCTAAAACCCAGAAGGCACCCCATCAGTGTCCTGTCAGCACGAGGAAGAGCTGACAGATTGCCGTAGTAACTGGTGAAGTCCCATCCCTGTTCAAGATGCTATTGGGAGGTCCCCAATGGAGTGATGCTGGCATGTCAGCGACACACACATGGCAGGCTGTGTGCTCAGGAAGAGCTGACTAACACAAAATAGAATCCATGGGGGATTTCGTGTTATGCTTGTTGATTTCTGTGTCATGTTTTGTTTGTTTATTTGTTTAAGAAAAAGAATGTGAAGTAAGGAGGGTGGGAACAGGGACCTGGGAGGAGCTAGGAGGAGAAGAATATGACTGTAAAGTATACAGAAATTATTAAAATAAAAAAGAAAAGGAAAGGGCTGGAGAGATGGCTCAGCGGTTAAGAGCATTGCCTGCTCTTCCAAAGGTCCTGAGTTCAATTCCCAGCAACCACACAGTGGCTCACAACCATCTGTAACGAGGTCTGGTGCCCTCTTCTGGCCTGCAGGCAGAATATTGTATATAAAATAAATAAATATAAAAAAAAAGAAAAGGAAAGAAAAGACAATGTGACAAAATGGGGGGGATATGTTATAAAATGTAACATTATTACTAGACATTTAATTCAGTGGTTCTCAATCTGTGGGTCGTGACCCCTTGGGGGAGTCAAATGACCATTTCACAGCGCTTACCTAAGACCACGGGTATTTACATTATGATTCATAAGGGTAGCAAAATGACAGTTATAAAGTAGCAATGAAAGCAACTTTATGGTTGGGGTCACCACAACTGTGTTAAAGGGTCTCAGCATTAGAAAGATTGAGAACCACTGATTTAATCATTGTTCAAATCCACGTTTAAGAAGACAAGAAATCTCAACCCCTCCACACACCATGACTTCTTTTTAAAAGGCTTTTTATAAGCATTATACACATTGTGCAAAGCATTTACCAAACTCATCCTTTTCAAATTAGTGAAACGAACTTCTCAGGGTTCTTCTAGAAGGAACGACACTATCTTTTAGAGGAAAGCACGGAGGAGAGAGGGCTTAGAAATCACATTTCCACAGTTCATTTGGATACCGGGTTGGAAGACTAGAAAGTTTAAAGCATGTAAAAAGACTTTCCTCTGAAAACAAAAAAAAAATATTGTAACTATAAAATTATATATTGAAAAGTTACATGTCAGTGTTTCTAAGAAGTATGGTCCCGACCTTACTAATCAAGAGCTTCAGGAAGCCAGACCGGGGTGGGTGGGGGCTTTTCAGAGAAGCCAGGAACAAAGAAACAGCAAATGCAACTACTGACGACGTTTTGTCTTCTTTTGCCTTTTTCCAGGACAGGGTTTCTCTGTGTAGCTCTGGCTGTCCTGGAACTTGCCTTGTAGACCAGGCTGGCCTCGAACTCAGAAATTCACTTGCCTCTGTCTCCCGAACGCTGGAATTCAAGTCATGTGCCACCACTGCCTGGCCTGTAAGTATCTTTTCAAAGCACCCTGGCCATTACTGTTGTAAGTATTTACTGAGCCTTCACTGCTGCGTGGCCCGAGAATCATTCTAAATGCTGAAAATGCAACATAAGCAAGATAAAAGACTTTGGAGTCACAAAAGACACTAGTGGCTGAGGAGATGGCTCAGCAGTAAAGATCACTGGAGGCTCTGACAGAGACGGATTCCCAGCATCGCTGTCACGGGGTTTATATACGTGTAACCCCAGTTCCGGGAGATCCAGGGCCCTCCTCAGGAACCTGTACACACGCAGGGCCCATAAACTCATGCAGGCACATGCATACATATAAACAAAAATAAATTCTTAAAGATTTGCTATATTTTTATTTGCGCACACGTGTGTGAGTGTATGCACGTGAATGTAGGCGTTCATGGAGGCCAGAAACTGGGTTCTCTGAAGTTAGAGTTACAAGCAGTTGTGAGCCATCACACTTGGATTCTAGAAACTGAACTTGGGTCCTCTGGAGGAGCAGCAATATTCTTAGTCAGTGATCCTTCTTTCTAGTCCCAAAAATAATTTTTTAATAAAAGAAAATAATTTTTAATAAAAGAAAATAACTTTTTAATAAGATACAAGGAAAGGGGAGGAGGCAAGATATATGTGTGTGTGTGTGTATGTATATGTATATGTATATGTAACTTCCTAGTGCCCACGAAACACAGAAATCAACACTGAGTTTTCAAACAGACCACAGGAAAGACAGACACACATTGTAAAACATACTCCACCAGTCTACCTGCTGATCATGTGATCACACAGACTTCAAGGAAGAATTGAACTACTTCTGTGCCTTGAAAGCAAACATCATGGCACAACTTAGCTCTTCCTCATTGAACAGTTCTCTAGTATACTACACGTTTACATATTCAAAGTATACAATTAATGAGTCTCGATTTACGCAAACACTCGGAACACTGTACCGAATCTGAGAATGGACTTGGCCTCAGCCCTGCACATTTACACACACTTCTGAAGAGCGTGACCCTTGCCCCATCTCCTGGCGCCACTCCACACCACAGATTAGCTTGAATTTTCTAAAACCGGGCAGCTTCCTTCATTCTGAGATTTATTCTGAGATGCAAACATGGCATTCTGTCTCTCCAGAGTGTCTTCCTTTCCACAGCTGCATCACGCACCAATGCGGTGAATGCCTAAGTTTGCTCAGCTTGAGGCTGCCAGATAAGTGGATAAACCTTCTTTCAGCTGCATCCTTTTTTGGTACAGCCTTTTCTGAAGATTCCCTTCCACCCTCTTCTGCCATCCTGGAGACACTCAGATGCATCACGCAAGGGGAATAAGCAAAACACGTTTCCCCCAGAAGGTCACAGAATTCCACACACTGCTCGATCTCAGGATCTTACCTGTGGATACTGGATACACTTGCGGTGGCCATGACTCCATAACCCAGCAACACCAACACAAAGAGATGTACAGCATACCTTTAAGATACAAGGAAAGGGGAGGCAAGACACTGAGAACAGTTTATACTGACCTACCCACTGGATACCCTACCCCTAACCATTGCAAAGAGCAATTCATGCAAAGACATAAGTCCCAGTGTTGTTCTATGGAATCAAAACACTATTATCTCAGAAGACTCTGGGAAACCTGGACGCAGCTTGCAGTTGCAGCCCTAGGAATGTCCAGAATGCATAAGTCAGTAGGTCTTTTCTTGTCTTTTTTTTTTTTTTAATACAGTGGTCGACTCAAAAGATGCATCCTTCCCCAATGGTTTGTGCCAGGATTCAAGCAGTATCCTGGTTCCTCCACCAAACTCACACATTTCCTTTAAGAGACACTGCTAGAAATAGTAGTCTCTAAGGCCTGCACCCTAAGAAGTGTCGTTCCCTAGGTATTTGCCATCTTTGGGTGTTAGGAGGTGTCTACACTAAGATTTAGAGAATGACTCTTAGAGAATGACTCATGTCCCTAATCCCTGTACTGAAACCTTTGGACTAACACCAGGTCTCTAACAGCAAGACAAGAAACACAGCAACATCAGTAAAGATTAGGGAGAGGTCCCCTAATCTTAGGAAGAACTAAACCTTATAGCATTTCATCTACATGACTCAAGGAGGTTTTAGAGGTCTAATCTTAAGAGAAAAAAAAAACAGACAGCTCTGACTTTCAATGGTTAGCCTCTTTGTTGGTTCCAGTCTATAACACGAATGAAGGTTCCCATGACGCCCCCTTTAGTTTACATTAATGTATCTACAACAGACACCATCTCACCAATCTTTTGGTGAGATAAAATACAGGAGGTATTTTATAATGCCATAGATTTCTCACAAAGAATACCATCACAAAACATCCAAGTGACAAATGACATTAGAATTTATAAGGTTTATACTCACCAGCCAAAACAAAACACAACGAAATAAATGCCCAAAATGGTGGCCAATGCATGACGGACCTCGGGGCTGGCTTTACCAGGATGTAAGTAGATTCTAAACCAGAAAGCAGCAGACAAAGCGAAGAGCTGGCAAGCCACAAAGTTAACCTGTGGAGACAGATAACAAAGACCCCTTCAGTGCTTTGCCTATGGATAAATTTGGCTTTTGACTTTTCAGATGTCTGTTCCAAGACGCCTCTGAAACAAAAAATTGTCCCCCCTGAGCTGAGTATTTGGAGAAGGAAGGGATGAGCAACGGAAGAAGAATGCTGCCTTGACATGGTGCAATAAATCCAGGGCTGGGGAGATGGCTTGGAGGTTAGTACTTCTTCAGTTCCCGGCACACATAAAGGAGATCTTAGCCATCCAAAATTCCATTTCCACAGGATCTTCTGGCCTCCTTGGGTACCATATATGCATGTGGTGTACAGACATACATGCAGGCAAAAGACTCATATACAAAAAAAAAAAAAACACTAAAATAAAGAAGTGATAAACCCACAGAGTCTCTTCTTAAGCCCCTTCAAACTTAGAAATGATCTCCTTCCCAAGGAAGGAAATTTTAGTGTCTAAGTTATTGGTTCTCAACTTTCTAATGCTGCGACACTTTAATACAGTCCTCATGCTGTGGTGATCCTCAACCATAAAATTATTTTCGTTGCTACTTTATAACTGTAATTTTGTTCATGTTGTGAATCATAATGTATATCTGATATGCAGACTATCTGATCTGTGACCCCGAAGGGTTCATGACCCATAGATTGAGAACTACTGCTCTAAGGAGACAGGAAGTCTGCTGACTGGGTTTCCTTTCCTGACTTTCAACACTTCCCTAAAAGGAAGAGTATATTGTCTGACGCACCCTTGTGCGTGGTTTAAATGCAACACCCCCCCCCCACAGGCTGATGTGTTGGAACATTTGAGTCCTGTAGTAGGAGACTGTTTTTTCATTTCCTGACTGCTCAGATCCGAATATTCACACAGAAACTTTATTAATTACAACACTGTCTGGCCAGTGACTCAGGCATATTTTTAGCTAGCTCTTACATCTTGAATTAACCCATTTCTATTCATCTATGTATTCACACGAAGCTGTGGCTTACTGGTAAGGATCCGGTGTCTGTCTCCTTCGGTAGGTAGCTACCTGGGCTCTGACTCTGCCTACTCTCTCTATATATCTGTGTTGGGATTTCCCGCTTGGCTCTACAAAGCCATTGGCTGAAACAAGCTTTTTCATCAACCAATAAAAACAACCCATTTACAGGAGGACATCCCACATCAGAGTCCACAACTGGTGATGCTATTTTTTTGAAGGTTGTTGTGTTGTTGGTAGGTAGGGCCTCACTAGAGGAAGTACGTCACGGGGAGGCCAAGGCAGGAAGATGAGGAGTTCAAGGTCATCATCTCTGGTTGCATATATGAGTTCAAGGACATCCTGGGCTATATATGCAAATCAGGGAAGGAAGACAGAGAAGTAGGGAGGGAGAAAAATATTCCTCAATTTCTATAGGAAAGATCTGCTAATTTTTGAAAAAGAACAAACATGTATCTTTGCATTTTAAACTTACGGGTAATCTAACTCCAAACATGTTGAGGAGTCCAACCATCATCAAAAGCTGGAAAAGTAATGGAAACCCTTCAGAGTACTGAGGATGAAAATCAGATCAAGGCACTTGTAGAAAGCAGTAAGTTAAAAAAAGAAAAAAAAGATTGAAGACATTTAAACATGAATAAAACCACAAGACTTCATCAGCATTTTTCCAAGACTCAATGTGGGGCAGCAGTTACTGAAATTCATTAGCTTTTTACTGGGGGAGTGGGAGGGAGAGAGAGGGGGAGGGGAAAGACAGAGGGAGAGGAGAGGAGGAGAGGGAAGGGAGCAAGGAGAGAAGGAAGGGGGGCATCAGCTGCACTCCTGCTCACTCTGGTTTCTCAATGGAAAACAGTAGTACTTTAGATCCCTTAGAGAAGCCACTTTCAGAGAGTTCCATCCCGTCTTTAATGACGACCGCACTGTTTCCTCTGTGTGTAAAAGGTTGTGTCTCACCACACACCCAAACACACCTGTTCCCTTGGGCTCCACCCTTACCTGAGAAGACCCAGAGAAGAGGACTTTAGAAGTCTACTGTGCAAGCTTTGATCCTATCTTTTATCTAGGCTAAAGGAACAGCTGCCATGCATGCAGACAAAGTAGAGTGAGAAGCGGGGGTAGTAGACCCCTCTTGTAATCCCAGCAGAGGGGAGGCTGAGGCAGGAGGATTCTAGTTCAAGGGCAGCCTCAGAGTACACAGTGAGATTTTTGTCTAAAAAAAATTAAAAGTTAAGTGTGTATATGTGTGTGTTTAGCACACATTGCTTCCTCTCAGCCCAGTGACCAGTCCACAAGCACAGTAGGGTGTACTTACTCAGGGGAGTGCCCACAGTAGGGCGTATTTACTCAGGAGAATGCCCACAGTAGGGCGTATTTACTCAGGAGAGTGCCCACAGTAGGGCGTATTTACTCGGGAGAGTGCCCACAGAGGAATTTGCTCTATCCTTTCTGTTTGGCCAAGAACTGTCAAGCACTTATACATGAGGAATAATTCAGAGAGAATACAGTAGTATTATTTGGCAGCATAGCCCTCAGGGCAGTAGCAATAACACTGCCTGGAAACCAGTTAGAAAGGCACCTTCTCCGGCACCCCAGATCTACTGAGTCAGGCACTTTAGGAGCAAGATCCAGTAACACACATCTGTGCCCCTCTCTACCCCAGCACAATCCACTCTGAGACAAGACTATGAAAGGGAAAAAAGCTTTCAATGAGCTAAATAATCAATGACTCAGCCTAGACAGGCACAATGGTGTATACTTAGAATCCCAGCATTTGTAAGGTAGAGGCAGGAGGATTATGACAACTTTGAATCCAGGCTAGGTTATGCACTATTCTTCAGTCCAGCCAAGCTACAGAGCGGGACCTTGTCTCAAACTCAAACTAAAAAAAAAAGAGAGAGAAAGAAGAAAAAGAAAGAAAGAAAGAGAGAGAGAGAGAGAGAGAGAGAGAGAGAGAGAGAGAGAGAGAGAGAGAACACAGGCTAAAAGAGATTGTAAAGGATTGTCTGGACTAACTGACAAAGATTCCTTACTGCCCAAGCTTCAGTGAGGTTCCTGCATCTTCTAGATCCATACCTAGTGCTAGTAAGGGCCACACCCCACCCCTCCTGATCACCCTTAGCGCCTGATCAGCCAGGCCCCTGCTCCATCACCTAGGGTCGTCTTTGAACTAAAGAAGTTAATGCATATGAGTGCTTGAAACAATGCGTGCACTCTCTAGTAGTCTACAGTCCCCAACTTAACATGTGCAGAGGTTGAACACAGATGAATTCACCAAATCTCTTAGGGCTATTTCCACCTGACATCCCCAACCCTCTCCCTGCTTCCTCTGTACCCAGTCTCTCTCCCATCCAACATTCACACGGTACCCAAGTCACCTTCGTCCTTTCCTCTTGTACAAAGAGGCAATATGGCCCTGAACCTAATCATTCACTGGGCTTCCAGCTTCTAAGCTGAGTTTTATAAACCTACAGCAGAGGCAGACTTGAAAGTCAAGGAAGTTTCCAGAAAGGGAACTGGAAAGGAGATAAGTGGGTTTTTTTTTCCTTTTCATTGTAAAAACTTGTCTTCGTGAAAAGCATTCAACATATGCCAAATCCCCAAAGATTAAACTCCACCTCTTAGAGGAAGCATGTATAAAAAATATGCGGGCATGCATCATGATACTGTTTTATTAAATCCTCCACATTTACAAGGAACACTGGTCACTGGCAGGATATTTCTTTTCCCAGTGCTGCGGCCTCCAGAGGCATGCCGGGGGCTGCAGGGTCATTCCTGAATTCCAACAGCTCTGTCCCCACAATTACAGCATTGTGTGATCCCCACTGTACAAAGATGAAGTAGAGGGCAGCTGTTTTGTTGATCAGATTCCCAAACCCAAGCTAGGCTGGCATGACTCAGATCCAGCCCAAGCTCAATTTCCACAGCCTTTACAAGATTTCAAGCCCAAGCTCAATTTCCACAGCCTTTACAAGATTTCAAAGTCACTTGGAGGCAATCAAACACCCCCCCCCATGTGTGTATTCTTATCCTACCCGCCCAGGGTGTGCTGTGCTGAGCTTTCCAAACGTGGCTCATAAATGACCTCTGCTTCTCTCACATTCTACCTACCAGAAAGCTGTTGTTTGGGGATTTCTCATGACCTTCATAGCTTCCAACTAAAAACAAACTGTGTCAAGACCTAAAAATATTACCTTCCTCCTAATTGGAAAGAGGCGAGCACTCTGTTCTTAACAGACAGCAAATATCAACAGTCCGAAATGACTTCCCCCTCCTCCAGCAGTGTACGGGAAGTACGCCAAGGAGGGGTAGGCGAGAGAGCAGGCCTGGAAGGGTCTCCTTGGTGGCACTGCTCTATGCGCATCAAGACTAAACCAACATGATTGAAAGATCCTTGACTTAAAGACAAACGGTCCTCTCCTGCCTTGCACTCCCAACCCCCCCACCACCGAAGAAAAACAGAAGGGGAACTCAAACTGCGATTCCCTTCTGTCTTCTGTTTCACAGAACAAAAAGAGTCTGTTCCACACCCTTTAGCTACTTTTCACTTTCAAAGAGATTCTTATTCCTGGTGCCTTGGAATGTCAGCAAGACATGTTTTTCAATCTGCAATAAGCCCATTCTTCTCCCCAGCCTGTGGATAAGCAAATGTTATTAAAGATGGATAATCAATGTGCATAATTTTGCAACCCAGCAAACTTTCCATTGATAGCTCCTCTCATCCTGAACATAAGTGTCTTTTATTGAGTACTTACAATGGATGAAGGACAATGACAAATTTCACACTAGTGATTCTGATAGTTTTATGTGGTAGCCTGCTTCCCGAGACACAGGGAGACAAATAGGAACACCATGGAACGCAATGGTTGAGGTCACAGATCCACGGAGGTCACTCATGGTTCTGTACCACTAAGTCTCAGTTCCTAGCATCCTCCCAAGAAGCACCACCACTCAGGAGAAATTACCAGCTGCTTATAGAGCTTCTGATGTTGCCATAACATGACCACAAACCAAGTGT